CCTTCTTTAGTTATTGATCGGAAACCGTTTTAACATACAAAGTCAATGTGACCTTGACCTTTGACCCTTGACCCGAAAATCTTTAGGGGTCATCTAGTGGTCATGACCAATCACCATACCAAGCTTGAAGATCCTAGGCCTAAGCGTTCTTTAGTTATCACTCGGAAACCATTTGGTCTACGGACCGACGGACCGGACGGACCGACAAGTGCAAAGCAATATTCCCCCTCTTCTTCGAAGTGGGGCATAATTAGGTGTAGGGTGTGATCTTTTTGCCCTATGCAGAATGCACATGCATAACAAAATACTGTAACAATTTTTTGCATAGCAATGGGCGGAGTTGTAAGGTCTATACCCCTTAGGGCAATAATCAATACCAGGGTTATGCATCATGTCTTAAGTTACATGAATATCTTTTATAGTTTTGAAAATTGTTGTTACATGCAAAACTAGGTCCACTGTAGATGTTCATTTAGATGTATGATATTTACTCATAAAAAATGCGTTAAGTGATCTTCATAAAGGACATAATTGCACTTTAAATTGCATTTACAGAAGTAACACAATGTAAATTATAAAGGGATAATTCAAACTTACAGCTAGCTTTGGCTTGTCAAGATGTGTATTCCTGCATTCACCATAGTAAATTGTTGTATTACAACAGCAGCTTTGTGCTTGTTTATACAATATCCTATGTAAATCAATTTATTTTACAGCCATTATTATTGACTTTTATATAGGCCAATTTTGACGACCCTAGGACTTTTATTTGAATAAACTTGGGAGACACCTACTAGAAAATGTTTCATGCCAAATATCTTAGCTCTAGCTCTTTGGGTTTTTTTAAAAGAAGATTTTTTAATTTTTTTTCTTTCTGCATGGAATTAAATTCTTTTAACAATTTATTAGGTGAACACCAAGGGAACATTCCTGTGTAGTTTGGATGAAATTGGTTAGATGTTTGAGGAGATGTCGTTTAAAGTTCAAGTGGAAGTATGACAGGTGGACGTTAGATGAAAAGTGATCACAAAAGCTGACCATGTCACTTTGTGATAGGTGAGCTAAAAAGACAATAATTCAATTAACTTCTATTATGATTTTCGAAAACATTGTTAATATTTGAGCCGTGCCATGACAAAACCAACATAATGGGTTTGTGACCAGCATGGATCCACAACATCCTGCACATCCACGCAGTCTGATCAGAATCCATGCTGTTTGCTGTCAGTTTTTCTACTTATTATAAGGTTTGTAAGCGAACAGCATGGATTCTGATCAGACTGCATGGATGTGCTGGCTGATTTGGAATTCCATGCTGGTGGCAAACCCATTATGTTGGTTTTGACATGTCGTGGCTCATTTGGGTTTCAAGCAAATGTCTTTAATGGCTCATGAGATATGATGTTGTACATAAAGTTGCATGAAAAGCTTTAATTAATACTAATTGTGATGCCCATGCCAGGAGTGTAGATGATAACCTAGCTTTTCTTGAAAAATTGAAGACCTTTAAAGAGCAGTCTTGTTCTGACCTTATGTTGTTTGCTTCACATGTTCATTATTTGGATAAAATAAAGCGATTAATTACAAGAAAAGACAAATTAAACAAACTATTCATAACAGTAACAATCATCCCATACCTGTTAATCTTGTCTGACTGATCTGGCATTATTTCTTGCTTCACTAATGCCTCATTTAAAGTGTCAGGAATCTCATTCATCGAAGCATCTTCAACAAGGATCTTATTTCCTAAATCCTCAGCCACAGGAGCATCATTTCCAGGGGCAGGAGCCTTTTTCACATAAGCATGTTCAACAAGGACTTTATTCTTGAAGGCCACAGTCGCAAGAGACTTATTCACAAGGACATCTTCAACAAGATACTTATTCCTGATGTTGTTATTCACAGAAGCATCAGGGACATCTTCCATAAGATAATAACATTTATTCATACAACCCTCACTTAAAGAAGCTTTATTCACAGAAGCATCATCCACAAGACACTGATCCAAGGCCTCAGTCACAGGAGCTTTATTCACAGAAGCATTTTCCATAAGGTACTTATTCAAAGCCTCAGTCCAAGGAGTTATATTCACAGAAGCATCTTCCTCAGGAAACTTATTCAAGGCCTCAGTCACAGAAGCCTTATTCACAGAAGCATCTTCCATAAGGTACTTATTCAAAGCCTCAGTCCTAGAAGCTTTATTCACAGAAGTATCTTCCATAGGATACTTATTCAAGGTCTCGTTCCAAAGAGACTTATTCACAGAAGCATCTTCCATCGGATACTTATTCAAGGCCTCAGTCACAGGAGCTTTATTCAAAGAAGCATCTTCCACAGGATACTTATTCAAAGCCTCAGTCACAGGAGTTTTATTCACAGAAGCATCTTCCACAAAGTACAAAGATTTTTTCCTGAAGGTGTTATTCACAGAAGCATCTTTTGCAGGGCCATCTTCAACAGGATAATTCCATGTATTCCTGAAGATTTTAATAACTGGAACCTCACTTAAAGAAGCACCTTTGTAAGGGATATTATTGCTTGTGATGTTATTTACAGAAGAGTAATTCACCATGGCATTTCCCACAAAATACTTACATGTACTCATTACGGCCTCAGTGACGGGAGCCTTATTCACAGAAGCATCTTCCACAAGATACTTATTCATGGAAGTCTTATTTACAAAAGTTTCATTAACAGGAGCACTTTGTACATGGTTCTTATGCAATGAGGTCTCATTCACAGGTGCCTCAGCCATACAGGCTTCCTTCTTCACGACCTGAATTACTTGGGTCTCATTCACAGGAGCCCGTTGACTGGCTTTAGAGGCATCATAAAGTTTCGGTATGTAGTCAGCTCTGTCATGCCTGAAGATTGCATTATAATTTGATAGTAAAATGCAAAAAGTTAAGTTCTTTAAAAGTAAATTTGTTTTAGTGTACTAGTTTATCAGTAATATACCTAAGTGAAGATTTTGAAACACAATAGATGAGGCAAAGAAGGTGATTTTACACACACTTAAAAGCACATTATACCTCAGATACAAATAAATATTTTCTTCTTGGAAAGAACAGAAATTAATTTTATAACCTTTAAACAATGGAATTAGAGCATGTTACATGCTTATCCCCTGAAAAAGTAGATCTAATGTGAAGTAATATGTCATAAAAGTAGCAACATGTAAATAAAGTAGTATTTTGACTTCCCATGAAAAAAGTAGCTCTAATGTGAAGGAATGTCATTAAAGTAGCAACATGTTAATTAAGTAGTATTTTGACTTCCATACAAAATACTAAATCTCTATAACTATACTGATTGCTAAAAAGTAACAGAGGCAAAAGTTGGTTCAGATAATTGCCCATTGAATAAATTTTTTGAACAGGCCACCAAAAATAACACACTTTCGAGAAATAAATTAAAATCATTTCTGGGGTTATGATAATGGGCCTTTAAAAAATAAGAAAGCAATGGAATCTAAACCATATTGATACACTCAATATTGCTCAAGTTGTTCAAATGTGACAATATTTCTTATTTTAAAATGCTAAAAAACTATTATTGTATCGTTAAAAACAAATGTAAGCAAGTTTTTGAAAAATCAGTCTGCAAACAGATTCAAGGAGAAAATGGGGGGGGAAAAAAGAAATTTTGCCAAAAACTTTAACATAAGTGGTTACGCCGACGCAGACGCTCGGGTGACTACAATAGCTCTACTTATTCTTATCGAATAGTCGAGCTAAAAATTAAACATAAGTTTTATTGTTACCATGCATTCATCAGCTCATTTGCAAGTTGACTGTTGGAGTTAACTTGAAGTGAACATTTCAGTTCTCTCCAGCGGTCCCATACATCAGTTTGTAGTGTTATTATCCTATAACTCTCCTGCTTTGGTATGTTTCTTCTCTTCCAATATCTGGTAATATGAAATCCATACCTAATTTGTTGATCAAGCTGATGTAAGCTGCAATTAAATGTATATTTTATTTATTATTTTGCTTTTAAATACTATCAAAGGGCAATAAAAATGGAGTTATGGTTCTTATGCACTGCACTTTCTCTTAATGTGCTTGTAAATCATATAAAGTTGTATTAAATTCCATCAAGTAGTTTTCAAGTTATGCTTCGGACAAGGAAATGTAACAAAGGGCAATAACTCTGTAATTAGTCAAGATGGAGATATGGTTCGTGTGCCAATGTGCTTAACCCTTGTATGAAGTTATATTGAATTCCAACCATTAGTTTTCAAGTAATGCTTCGGACAAAAAAGCAATGTAAAAGTAACAAAGGGCAATAACTCTATAATTAGTCAAGATAGAGTTATGGTTCTTGTGCACTGCACTTCCCCTTAATATGCTTAACCATTGTATGAAATCTTTTTAATTCCAACCAGTAGTTTTCAACTTGCGCTCCGGACAAGGAAAAGTAACAAAGGGCAGTAACTCTGTTATTAGTCAAGATGGAGTTATTATTTTTGTGCACTGCATTTCCTCTCAATGTGCTTGACCATTGTATGAAGTTATATTGAATTCCAACTATTAGTCTTCAAGTTATGGTCCAGACAAAAGAGTTATGGTCCAGACAAAAGAAAGCAATGGAAAAATTTCAAAGGGCAATAAATTTGTGATTACTTTAGATTGAGTTATGGTTCTTGTGCACTGCAATTACCCTTATTGTGTTTGACAATTGCATGAAGTTGTTTTGAATTCCAACCAGTAGTTTTAAAGTTATGCTTCGGACAAGGAAAAGTAACAAAGGGCAATAACTCTGTAATTAGTCAAGATGGAGTTATGGTTCTTGTGCACTGCCCTTCCTCCTAAGGTGCTTGACCATTATATGAAGTTATATTGAATTCAAACCACTAGTTTTCAAGTTATGCTCCGGACAAAGAAAATGCAACAGACTGCTGGACAGACCGGCAGACCAACTGACCTACCGACAGACCACAGTGTGACTCCTATATACCCCCCCCCCCAAAACTTCGTTTCAGGGGTATAAAAATAGTACAGTAAGAGGCAGCATTTACTGACATGGGTTCAAACCCCTTCCAAACCTCTCAAAACTTTGGCAGACTTTCTACCACAGCACTATATAAAAGCTTGATCAGGGACAAGTAAAGCACCTTCAATTGCTATTAATCTACATAAACATTCTCCAGTTTGTCAAGTGAATATTCACATGTTTAGATTTTTAGGGACATGTGCATAAGTCTTTTTTCTTTTGGTTTTCCCCCCCTACCCGAAAGATGGGTTCCATTGTTAGAGACATAAAATACTTAAGAGAAATATAATTCTTGTTTAGTTTTTTCTTTTACTTTTGCAAAAATTTTATGTTATATCCAAAAATTTAAGGGAATTGCCTAATAAGAACATGGATACAAGAAAATTTGTAGAACACAGCTGTACCTTTTGATCAAAAGTCGAGCAAGGTCCTCATCTGATTTACAACATTTCTTTGATTTGATTTTCATCCATCTCCCAGTCACTGAACCTAGATTTACAAATTTTCTTTGCACTTTTGCACAAGGATTTTTTCCATCAGCTTGTGAAGACTTGTAAGACATCTTCTATTGGAAAATAAAATATATCTAATAAATTGCCAATTAAAGCATCATACAGTTATTATTAATGTGTGCAAAGAAAATATACAAATTTTAAACACATGCCAAAAAGAATTGTTGTAGAGTTTAAAGTACTGATGTATGTGTTTGACAGTTTAAACTTAAATTACTACTATGACGTCATACCTTTGTTCTGTCCATACTGTATTTTTAATACAGTACAGGTAGGTGTCCAATATTAATGTGTAAGTCCAATATTAATCGTGTAACACATTAACATTAGACAGCATGCCGTGTCTTGAAAGAAGCTTGCATGACCACTGGATTTTGTGGAAAATTCTCCAAATAATAAATAAAACAAGAGCTGTCCGTAAGACAGCGCGCTCGACTTTTTTATTGCTTGCCAATAAAAAAAGTTTTTGCAGTAAAAGGCAATACAAGAATCTCTGTATTTTTAAAGTGAACTAGTTGTTTGATACCCTTGAATATTACAGCAATGTTTATATGACATAATTTATGGTAAAGTGAACAAGTGGATAGGAATGAATTTTTTTTTAGATTTTTAAAGTTTTTTAGTGCTTGCCTATAATACAAAACATTGACAGTTAAGGGCCATAATTCAAATAAAATCTTTGACAGAATTACCTTCTCCTGGACATGTTTGGGAATCATGATTGTAAACAAGTATTCCAACTTTCAAATTAATATCTCAAACAGTTCAGTCAAAAAGTGGACTGGTACTAAAAACTTAACCAAGATTCTAAGTCGATAAAAGGCCTTAATTTTTAAAACAAATCCTTGACAGAGTTACCTTCTCTTGCGTACAGATGGGGGTAATGATGTGAAATAGCATTAAAAGTTTCAAAGCAATATCTCAAAGGGTTAAGGCAATAAGTGGATTTTACCCATATTCAATGTATTTTCTAAGTCAAAAAGGGGCATAATTCTGTCAAAACCTTGACAGAGTTATGTCCTCTTGTCTGTTGATGAAGGTCGTGATGGTAAACAAGTATGGTCAGTTTCAAAGCAATACCTCCAATGGTTTTGAAATAAAGTGAGGTGGTACAAAAAACTTAACCAAGCTCAATACACTTTCTAAGTCAAAAAAGGGCCATAATTCTGTCAAAAACCTTGACAGAGTTATGTACTCTTGTCTGTAGATGGAGGGTATGATGGTGAACAAGTATGGTAAGTTTCAAAGCCATACTTGTAATACTTCTGAAATAAAGTGGGGTGGTACGAAAAACTTAACCAAGGTGTGACGCCAACGCCGACGCCGACGCCGGGGCGAGTAGGATAGCTCCCCTTTTCATAGAAAAGTCGAGCTAAAAACCAAAACAATTAAGTAAAATGTAACCTTTTATCTCAGGAATAAGGGGCCATTTCTTTTGTTATTTTCCTTTGTTTAATAGAGGGCCAATGGCCCCTTACTCTATTGTTACGGAATGAACTCTATTGTTCTCTTTTGTTCTGTTTACAGTTAGATGGCCCCCTATCCCTATTGGGTAGTGCGGACGGACAGACGTAGGACGGACAAGTGCAATGCTATATGCTCCCACTCTGTGGGGGCATAAAAAAGTAATTTAAGTAAGATATAAGCCTCAAACTGACCAATACATGTAAGTAAAATACTGAATTCCCTTCGGCGCTGTGTACCTCATGAAATTCAGTATTTTACATATTGGACAGTTTTCGGCTTATATCTACTACATAAAATAATGATAGTTACAGTAACCTTACAGGGCAGGTACAACGATAACCAGTACTTGGACCATATCGTGAACCGTCATAAATTACCAGTAAATAGTACTAAATACTGTTTCAAAAAGTAGCAACTAACTGTAAACAGAACAAAAGAGAGCAATAGAGTTCATTCCATAACAATAGAGGAAGGGACCATTGGCCCTCTATTTAAGAAAGGAAATAACAAAAGAAATGGCCCCATATTCCATTTTGGCCGAATGTCAGTCTTTCCTGTTTGTCCATCCATCTGTCAGTCTGTCACATTTTTATGTCCCGGTCCATAATGATAACTATGTCATTTATTAAAGGAATTTGAAATAACTTGGCACAAATGTTTGTTATAATAACACTATGTGTCATGCACAGCAAGGCCATCTTTAAAAATATATATGTTTGCTATTGCTGACCCAGGGTTACAAAGAGTGGGTCGTCAGTAGGTAGGCTTTGTTTTATTTTTTATTACATGATTTTTTCAGAAGGTGAGTTATATGCTTAGTTGAGGCAGATTGTGGAATTTGGGACTTCATTATCACCATCGGCGATGACGAAACTGACATGTATTAGACAGTCAAAAACAAAGACATGTTCACTAGTAATCATGATATGAAATAAAAAAAAATGCCTATGTGGACATAAATTCAAGAATGGTCAAATTACCGATGTGATACAACATATTCTGCGAAAGTATTCCTGTATGACCTGGAAAACTTTATAGTGAATCAACAGGACATTTCGCTCTCTCAGGTGACCATTTCTCAATTTATAACACGTGTTTACTTAAAAAATAATTCACACAAGATTTGTCTCCTATAATTTCTGAATGGCGGATATTTGCAGGGCTGTTTTAAATTTGTTAAAATATATGTTACCATACAAGTACTTTTTTCTGTGGGAACTTTATTTCTGCTATTTCTGCGGTTCATAACGGCACCGCAGATTTAAAAACCGCAGAAAATTAAGCTTTTCCCTATGTCTTTTTCGGTATGTCAACTAACGGTATTGTATAATTACAGTACCATGTACCGTTAGATGGGAATTTTCTTTATGAATAAAATGAAGAAATAAATAAAATATTAGACAAAAGTTACTTTACTTGTTCTTTTAATAAATATTATGTTTATATGATTTTCACTCACCCTAAGCTTGACTTTAAAAATTATTGTAAAATTAAACTATTATAGTTTGACGGATGCAATAAACAATTAGTTACCCTTTTTGTATTTGTACAATATCTTGTGTCTACGTGCAATTTTACCATTGTTTATTTTTCACATTTCATATTTATATACATGCAGTAATACAATTTATTGTTGTCATTGCACGTTGTTGATTTCTGTTTATTAACGTTTATATAACGATACATAATGATTACGATTAAACACATTATAAGTCATCTGCATGTTTACCAGAAGTAATGTATTTGTTTGTATCTGTTAATGTTGTAAAAATATCTAAATTAAAACGCAGAAATAAAAAAAACATCAATGCGGGAATGACGACACCGCAGAAATTAGATACGCAGAAATTTAAAACGCCTTATTTCAACAAAAATCGCAGAATATTAAGCCCGCAGAAATAAGTACATATACGGTATTTACCGAAAATCATCGCCGATTGTTAAAATTCCATAGCGCTAAATCACACAAAAACAGTTAAAACACTCACGCAAAATGTACAGTAGCATCTATAAATAAAAGGAATATAATGTTTCCATTGTTAACCCATTACTTCATGAGCATTTTGTGAAAAATGGCTGTTTTCATTGAAAAGTCTCCCGTTACAAGTTCAAATTGCTATAATACTATAAAAACTGCTTCAACACTTATCAAACTTGGCACAAATGTTGACTGGACCATGGCCCTTGCAACAACATACTCAGGCTTAAATTTTCTGTTTCCATGGCAACAAGGGGACATCTCAAAATTGTCAAAAATCACTATTTTGCGTTGATTTTTTCCATCAAAATTGATTTCAAAGTGCTGCAACTTCTCAATGGATTGAGATAGAGTCAAATGCTTTTCAGCGTTGGTTACACGTTACCTTATGATCTATCTGGGGTCATTTATAGCCCCTCACAAGTCCAAAATTTTCTTGGCCATGAGGGGGACTCCGTCCCCCTTTAAACCCCCCCCCCCAAACAGAAGGGGGCACATCCCCCTTCTGGCAACCCCCTGATGTATCATTTGGTTGGGGGACCGAGCCGAAAAAGTGGTCACTTTTTTTAACAACATTTCTCAAACAAAAACAAGTGTAGGGGGCCTGAATAAGGCGTTTTTTCAACATTTGAGACAGCAAAAAGGGGGGAGGGGGTGAAAAAGGCGTTAAAAGACGTGTATATGACGTAATGGGTTAACAGAAAATGATGAAAATACTTGAAATTACCCTTAATCCAATTTTCCATGTTTAACCCATTACGTTATATACATGTACACGCCTTTTAACGCCTTTTTCATCTCCCCCCCCCTTTTTGTGGTTTCAAATGGTGAAAAAATGCCTTATTTAGGCCCCCAACACTTGTTTTTGTTTGAGAAATGTTGTTGAAAAAAGTGACCTCTTTTTCGGCGCCGTCCCCCATCCAAATGATACATCAGGGGGTTGCCAGAAGGGGGATGTGCCCCCTTCTGTTTGGGGGGTTTGAAGGGGGGCGGAGTCCCCCTGATCGCCAAGAAAATTTTGGACTTGTGAGAGTCCAGATTGATCATAAGGTAACGTGTAACCAACGCTGAAAAGCATTTGACTCTATCTCAATCCATTGAGAAGTTGCAGCACTTTGAAATCAATTTTGATGGAAAAAATCAACGCAAAATAGTGATTTTTGGCAATTTTGAGATGTCCCCTCGTTGCCATGGTAACAGATAATTTAAGCCTGAGCATGTTGTTGCAAGGGCAATGGTCCAGTCAACATTTGTGCCAAGTTTGATTAGTGTTGAAGCAGTTTTTATAGTATTATAGCAATTTGAACTTGTAACGGGAGACTTTTCAATGAAAACAGCCATTTTTCACAAAATGCTCATGAAGTAATGGGTTAAACATGGCCTGTCATATAAATTTGAAGAAAAATTGTTGTTTTCTAGATTTTTTTATTATTTTCATTAACCCATTACTTCATGAGCATTTTGTGAAAAATGGCTGTTTTCTGCTTTAAGTCTCCCTTCAAACCCTCCAAACAGAAGGGGCACATCACCCTTCTGGCAATCCCCTGATGTATCATTTGGTTGGGGGACCGAGCCGAAAAAGTGGTCACTTTTTTAACAACATTTCTTATACAAAAACAAGTGTTGGGGGCCTGAATAAGGCATTTTTTCAACATTTGAGACAGCAAAAAGGGGGAGGGGGTGAAAAAGGCGTTAAAAGGCGTGTATATCGTGTAATGGGTTAAATAATAAACACAAAATTTACATATGAGATGACCTCTGATAAATGACTGGTCAGCTCTAGAGAAGAATCTGTCAGTCTTTGATGTTTACACAGGTGTAGTTGTTGCCGAATCATCAAAGAAGTGCCGACACTCAATTGATTTCCACCCATTTTAATATTTCAGAAAAAAACTGTCATTTCTATTTGTCAAGAAACGATTACTCATATTTAATTAGTGCTCAAAAGTAAAAAAAATGTTGGATATTTATAGTGTCAATTATTCACATATTATTAATTGTAAGTGCATTTTGATTGTGATATTTTATTTACATTTTTCACACAAATGAAACTTCAAAAATACTGTTGCGATATGATCTTGTCAATGAAGATAATGACAGTGTAATGCTGGTGTCTGGTATCAAGACAATAATGCACATACAGCTTCCAAATATTTTTTTTCAGTCAATTTTATGACTGAATCCCCGCTGCTACCAGAAATGATATATTGCACTGAGGGGCTTAGTATTTAATCTGTTTCGGCAGTCATAAACAAACATGAACCCCAAAGCATATGGTAAACTAGTGACCATATAAATGCTTTACAAATATTCATTAATTGAACAAACATTATTTTTAATCCAGTTTCCACAACTTAATTTGATATGTTTAATAATTAATTAAAGTATTTACATAAATAGCGACCAACCAGGGAAGGGATTTTCTTTAAGTCACGCAGTTACTGCATGCGCTAGGCAATGAATTTACTAGTTTATGTATGCATATCTGTGCACATGTATAGAGCTAAAAAATAAATGAAAGGAAAACTTACTTGATTTTTTCTCCCTTTTTTTACGAGAGGTCCCGAAGAATGTCTTCTTCTCTCTTTATCTTGTGAAAGTCTGTTGACTGTAGTAGGAAAGATGGTGGGCACTGCATCGGTCTTCAATATTCTCTTGAAACTTCCCTTATAACCAATTGACTCTAGAAATGTTGAACTGTATCTAAATTGGTTCTCTTCAAAGTGTAGAGAACACAACCGACTGTTTTTATTTGGAGAAAAAACCTTGAATTTATTAACACAGCTAGTTAGGCCAATCCTACTGCACCAAACTTTTCGAAGTTTTGTGTCTTTTGGAAAGCTAAAAAAATTCACTTTATCACGTCCAGAGCGCGAATTACAGCCAAAGGCAGCACACTTAAGTTTAACCATATTTACACATCCAAAGAACACGATGAGACAAAAATCTGAAGCCTATAATGTCCGTAACTTATTAAAAAAATGTTGATAAAAATCTGCTGTTACTTCTGTGAACAATGTATTCATCTATGACGTAATGGAGCAAGTTAACAGGTTAAGGCTCTATAGTATAGGCGAATAAGTCATAAAATTATCGCTTTCTAGTTCAAAATAACGATAAAACAACTTTAACCTGTTAATTTAACAAATTTTTGGTGTAATGAGAGTAAAACCAATAATAACAAATCATTGTATTTGACAATTTAAAGCCTTAATTTTAATACATTCAACACACATAGGCCTACATGTGGGCAAATGGCGTTACAGTTAGTAAGGGGAGTAACTCGGACAAATTACGGACATTTCGTACCACGGACGTTTCGGACCAGACGCTTCGGACCAGATTTTTAGGTCATTTCGGACAAGATTTTGGGACATATCGGACCATGAGATGGTCATTTCGGACCATGATGGGGGACATTTCGGACCAGAAATTTTTATTCAATAGACCTTTTAGTCCTTTTTTATATACAATTATTTGTTATTTTAGGGTGTAATTACAATATGGATATAATTATTTTGTTCGTTCTTGTTATGATAGGTAAATAATAATTAGGCATGTTTATGATTCATATAAGTCACAGAGACAAAAAAACAACAGAAAAATCTTCTCAGCCAGAAAGAAATTAATAAAAAATTCACAATACTCAACACGACAACACGCTTGTAATTTAACCCTTTACCTCATATATACGCGAAACAACGCGTTTCGACCCCCCCTCCTTTTAGGCATCAAAATAGTGAAAAAATATGTTCTATTTGGGCCCAAAGCACATGTTTTCGTTTGAGAAATGTTGCTAAAACAATTGAGCACTTTTTCAGCGCCGCCCCCATCCACTCATCGCCAAGAAAATTTTGGACTTGTGAAAGGTTTAAAATGACCCCAGGTCGATCATAAGGTAAAGTGTAACCAACGCTGAAAAGTCTTTGACTATCTCAATCCATTGAGAAGTTGCATCACTTTGAAATAAATTTTGATGGAAAAAAATCAAAGCAAAATGGTGATTTTTGGCCATTTTGAGATGTCCCCTCGTTGCCATGGTAACAGGAAATTTAAGCCTGAGCATGTCGTTACAGAGGCAATGGTCAGTCAACATATGTGCAAATTTTAATTAGTATTGAAGCATTTTTCATAGTTTCATAGCAGTTTGAAATTGTAACAGGAGGTTTTTCAATGAAATTAAACGGCCATTTATCACAATATGCACATGAGAGAAAGGGTTAATTTGCTGCAATATTTGCTTATTTTGATGCTGAATTCCTTGAACAATTAAATAACCTCAGTCTGACAGCCCAAACTTCAACATCACCGTGTATATCCAGTAACGCAGGAATATGCAAATAACGGAAAAGTTAACGCCGAATCTGTGCAACACTATTGCCAAAACGAATACAGTAAGTAAACGAACCAAAATTTTTGATTCTAAATTAAATTTTAAGAAATGCATTAGCACATACGGCTGCTACGACATTATACTTTAACCAGCATTACAATTTTTTTCAGGAAAATGTTTACATTTTTTTTTAAATCATTAGTTAGAAAGTCAACCTGATTACCGTTTTGAAGATAACTTTTGTGTTTCGTTAAATAAATATGTACATTTAACACATTTAAAACATTATTGTTTCATATTCTGTATACCTAAGACATTTGTCAAACTACAAGTTTAGTATAACAATAGAAGGAAATTGGTAACATAAGATTTAGCTACTTTTAATGAGATAACCGCCCTTGCTTCATTCACGAATCCGACGTTACCTCGTGAAAATGGTCTCAATTACGTTTTATCTGCTAGTTTAAGTGTAATATGACACGAGTAGATTGGAAAATGTCTCAGGTACAACGCATATAAAAATCATAAATTAATATGTATGCTATATTGTATTTAAAGATGTCAACGAAACTAAAAATCGCCATCAATACGCTAGTCAGGTCGTCAATATATTCAACCTTGCATTACTGCTCAACTGCTCCCTGTATACTAAGCTGCCCAGCTTCACAAAAAAGTGAACAGTTCTGTAATTCAACATACTCTTCCTCACCAAAATTAATTTATCCGTCATCGAATTTCTGGATACAGAGTATGAGCAATATACCATCAAGGTTTGCTTCTGGGTGCTTAACGTTACAAAGTAAAAACATGGCTTTTTTGCATTAAGTCTTGGTGAAAATATAAAATCTTATGCTTGGTAAATACTTTGCCCCTGCTCTAACTCTTGTCAGTGAACAATTTATCGAAGGGCAGGACGTGAAGTGGTTGCAAAATAAAGTCACTTTGTTCAAGCGAGAAAATTGGTTGCAAACTTGAAAAAATGGCTACGGAGTCATGAATATTTACAACACTGGCACGTACGTATAGTATTTTCTACTGGTAGGTGGGTTTGTACTATATTTTGATTTTTTTAATGTTCATTTTCTGAGATATTGGTAGGTGGATTTGCACTTTATTTTGATTTTTTTAATGTTCATTTTCTGAGATTTGTGACAATCCTAGGCGGTTTTATGCTCATTCACCCTTATATAACTTGTAAGGTTTGTGTCCCTTGTTGTTTTCTCGTCTACGGTAAGTATCTTCCCCATTGCCTCTAGTTTTTAATTTCTTTTTTTCCCCCCCCCCCCCCTTTCCCCGGTCTCCTTCCCTTTGTGGGCCATTTATTATTTTCTTTGAATTCCTAATGAGTTATAAATTATTGATCATTAATGTTTCCGACCTCTCCTGCTGACACTGCTCGTCTTTGTCCTGTCCCTGTTTTTTGGTTCTTTTTGCTGGGTCACAGGGGGGTCTGCGTTCATTGAACGGCCGCTTCCTTTTTGATCTTAAATTTTTCTCATACATTTCACAAAAAA